AACAATTTTTTTTGTTTAAAGTTTCAAAACCGTTTGGGGCATTTGGGCTTCTTACAAAAGTGGGGGGGGGGGGGGAAAGCCTCAGTGCTTTACTTTAAGCTTGGCATGCCCCTGCGCCAAGCACAGTGCACGCCCAGAAGAGGCATCACAGTAGTTGAACCTGGCTCGCCCAATGTCTATAGATTGTGCACTTCAGTGGGACTTTTTGGCACTTTTATCTAATAGCTGATGGCTTAGATAAAAGCACCAAAAAGCCCCACTGAAGCACACGCTCTATACAGACCGTTGGGAGCCGGGTCAAACTAACGTGCTTACTCTTCCAGTAAAGCTCTGTCGTTTTTTGTTTTGTTGTTTTCACATCTGTCACCAGCCTTGGATACCCAGGTCCCATAACGCCTTAAATGATTTTGTCATTCTCAACCCTTCTGTCTTGGTCTTTTCCCAGTTCCAGTTGACTTTACTGCAATGTGATCTCCAAACTTGATAGGTACTGAGAGCAGTAGTCAGCCTGACCATGAGCTCCAGCTTTACACTAGGGATATGGTCACAGACTGCTTTGCTCTTGTGCTTCCCTAGTGCAAGTGCACTGCAGGGCCTCTCCTGTGCCCAATTCACAGAGGAAATAAGTTTGTAACGGCTCGGCTAGAGAGCCCGACATTTTGTCATGAGCTGTTTTGGCTCATGCTTTTTTTTTCTGGAAGTTCCCAGTTCACTCCCTTCCTTGTTGGCCAAGATGATGACCATTGTGCCTTGATTTTGACTGCTAGGTTACCAAGCAACATTTAATCTAGATTAATCAAGTCTGCTGGTGCGTGCTAATTAGTGCGCTCCAGCATCCTCTGTGTCTCATGAATTCAGCATCCCGTGCTTTAACTAAGGCTCGATGAGCGTTCGTTAAAGCACCCCCATTGCCATTTTGAAGTGCGGGATGCTGAAGACATGAGATGCTGTGGGCACTTTCATTACAGTGGCTCTTGGAGATGCTCTAATTAAAGTGTCCCCCCATCCCTGCAGCATGTGTAAAGACGCCCTGTATTTTCTGTTCAATTTATCTCGGGTTTCATTCCTTGTACTTCTGTCACATGGTATTCTGTAATTGGCTAGGACCTCTGTTCAGCCCTGAATAAGAGCCCCTTGCTTTTGTGTCAGCCCAGCTTCACTTTAATGGGATGTTGCTAACAATTGCCATACTATATTGCATTGTTTTTAATGAGATGATGCACAGTCCAGCATCTGTCCTGCCAAATGATGCTTACTAGTTCCCGCTGATTTTTATGATGAGGCCTTATGTCTCTTGAACAAGAGGATTTGTTGATGATTTCCAGAAATGCTAAACTTCTTTTAATATGCAACTGTTAACAAAATTGTAGAATAATTATGACACTGGATCAGCACGATGCTTACATTTCAGCTGAGGGAGCTACTCATGCTGAAGTTAACTCATGTGTTTTAAGGGTTTTTTTTTTAATTGGTTAACTATAGAAATTATGGAAGGCTTCAGCCCTTCAGAGACCTCTTCTATAACTTTATATATGTGGAAACTCTTATTTACTATTCAAGGCTTTGCATGACCTGAATGTGCATAATTTCTAACCTCTTAGGAACCATGCTTACAGAGCAATGAAACTCTTCTATTGAAGGTTATTCCTTCAGCTCACATAGTAAATCTGTACTGAAGGTCTACAATTTGATGTGTCTCTTGCTAAAGGTCTTTGTGCCAGAGGATGCCTTTCTGACTTCTCCAAATTTTTTTCTCATTATGGTTCTTTTCTACTTTAATTGGGGTGATGCAAGGAACTTGTGTGATATGCCTGGAGTATATTGAGAAATGGTTATTAATATCTTCCATAAATTGACTTTCTTGTCCTCTGTCTTTTGCCCACCTTGCCTCCCAAAGAGGAAGTATGTGGTAGGTTCTTGTTTAGGCTTCAGTTTTCTTGTTGCTCTTCATAGACCTGCCTATTGCCCTGTGTTCAAGCTGGAGAAAGCAAGCTCAGAAGCAAACTTACTTCCTATTTAGAGCAGACGCTTCTGAGAATGGAAATGTTCATTGCGTAGTCACAGGGCCTCCAGTCCTCCTGGGAAATGTCTCTCATCAGTAAAGCTCATCTGTACAAGAGCTCCAGTGTGTCACAGGCTTGTTATGGGTCATTCATTATTATTAATTTGTGCTAGCACAGTGCCTAGTGGGGAAGGCTGAGTTATTTTTAGCCATGTTGAACTTGAGGTGACAATTGGATCTCAGAGAGGGAGGCTGAGACTTTTGTCTGGCCAGAAGGAAACAAGTCTAGAGTGGAGCGGTAAATTCACGTAATCAGAATTGGGGTTGTCCGCAAGCAGAAACTCAGCAATACCACGCTGAGATAAGGTGCAGAAGGAGAAGAGAAGGGTACCAAGAGCTCTCTGGGAGACCCACAGAAAACTAGAGAGAGATGAGGGATAATCTGAAGGAACAGCTGCAATGGTAAATGGACAAACCTGGAAATCAGAGGATGGCCAGAATCCAAGAAAAAAGAGCTTGGTCACTGGTCTGGAAGGGCTTAGGTCAGGGGTGGGCAAATGCAACCCACAGGCCAGATCTGGCCCGGCAATTAATTGTATCCAGCCCACAGCTGTTCCCGCAGTGCTTTGCATGGGGCCGAACCCCACCTGCTCCCTTCCAGGGCAGCCCACGCTGTGTTCTCACCTGTGCCCGCTGGTGGCCTGGGCCCCGGCCAGCCCACACAGCTTCCCAGTGGGGCTGCCTTCTACCCACTCGGCCACCTGCAGGTGGCTGCTCGTTGCGCTGGGCAGGCAGAGGGGGTGGAAGGCAGCTGGGAGCTAGGGCAGGAGTTGCCTGGCTGCAGCTTCCCTGCCCAGCTGCCTGGACATATGGTGCCCAGCATGAACATCCATAGCTGCTGCCACTTCCCCGCGCTACCTGCTGCCCATGGCAGCACAGCAGGGCCTGGACAACGAAGACAAGGAGCTGCTGGAGGTGAGCACTAGCAGCAAAAGCAGCTGTGCTGGGAAGCTGTTTGTGCTGGCTGGGGCTGGGACCAGGGCCACTGATGGGCATGGGGCATATGCAGGTGGGAGCATGGTGCAGGTTGCCCCAGTCAG